AAAACTCTTTTCCATGGCCAGAGATCACAGCCAGTGTCTCTGGGGGCTCTGTCCAGGGGGGTTCCTGACCCCTGCCAGGGTCCCAGGGCAGCCAGGGCAGCCAGAGGGAAGCTCTGAATTCCCACATCTGGTGACTGGCACTCAGCTAAAATCCCAGAGAGCAGACCCTGTCCAGTAGAAGATACCACCTCAGTCCCAGCTTCCCAGGCTGCCCACTCCTCATCCCAGAGCCGGCGCCTCCCAAAGCCGGGGAAGCAGCGAGAAACAGCAGCTGCAGGAGGGATCAATTTTTAATGAACAGGCAGACTGGGTTGGAGTTTGCTCTTCAGCAGCTCCCTCAGCCCCACTGCCTCAGCGTTGTTTTATGCAGTTTAATGTCGCAAAAAGGAAAGGAGGAGGTAGAGGTGAGAAATCATCATGAAAGCCTTGCTCAGGCAGAAGCAATTGCTGGGAGAGGGACAGATGGGAGGGCTGTGCTCACCAGGAGCGCAAAGAGACATGCAAGCACTGGGAAGGCATAGGCACGGGGCAGGCAGCCTGGAGAGACAACTTATTCTTCCCCCAACATCTCACACTGTCCCTCCTGTGTCAGCCTTCAGGCCATGGGTGCCACTGCTTCTGCTGTCTTTGCTGTTTTTCAATGGAAAACGGTTTTCTGCCACAAACCCTGGAGCTCTGTCTGTGCCAGGACAGACTGGTCTAGCTCCACTGCTCTCAGAGCTCAGCTTTCCCTAAACACATTTAACCTTCCTTGGCATCCCCAAGGCACTGGAAAGAAAAAACTTCTGCTTTGTGTGTGGCTGCAAAGCCCCATTCACCACCATGGAGACACTTTTCAACCTTACGATTTTCCAAACCTGTGCAAGCTAAGCCACACACAAGAACACAGTTGCTCTGTGACTCCTTGCATCAGCCCCAAAAAGCCCAGGGATGTAAAGCCACCAGAAGAATGGACTATTACGACCCCAGGGATGGGTGCTGACAGGAGCAGAGGGCTGATGGCAGCCCCTGGTGCCACACGGGGGATCAGGACATCATTCCTGAGGTAGGGAAGGAATGGAGGCACCAAGGGAGACGGGCACTGCAGTGATTTAACAACACAGTGTTTCCATCCCACTGCCTGCTCCCAGGGAGCACTCAGCCATACCCTGGGCACCCTGGAAACTCTCCTCCCCCACCTGCCAGGGCCAGCTGAGTGCCTGGGCACCTACTGTTGGTCTTGAGGCGGGCAGGCTCGCTGTTCCGGCTGCCCGCCTGGTTGATGGCCTTCACCAGGAAGATGTAGCGGGTGCCACTCTGCAGCCCGTGCACTGTGTAGTGGTTCTGCTTGATGTTGGGGACGATCATCCAGCTGTCCATGGAGTTGTAGAGACCTGCAGCGCAGCAGAGGGGCAGAGATTTATTCCCAGGGAAGGACAGAATACAAAGCCTCTGTGCTGCTCATGCAGAGCTCATGACCGTGTGTCCCTCAGAAGGATTTACCACCTGCCTGGGGGTTCAGAGTGTCTGCAGGGAAATTTCCAGAGATGATAAATCCCAGCAACACAGAATCTCTTCCATTATCACACAAAGGCACTGTTGGTAAGGCAGGACCAGGGCTGCAGTGCTGACATCTTGGGATGCTGCCATGGGAAGTGATGGGGAAAGGGTGCAGAGAAAGGGAAATGCAGCCAGCAGCAGCTTCCAGCCAGGGCAGATGGCAGAGGAAGCTGTTGGTGCCTGGGAGGGGGTGATGGTCACCATCCTCCCACCACCACCCCCCCATCATTCTCTGCCATGTCTCTACTCCTGCAGGACAGCCTCCCTCCTGCTCCAGGGCCCCAGTATGCAATTCCAGCAGCACAAAGGGATGCATTTGCACCCAAATTGATGTGTTGGCAACTGAATTTTGCTCTTGCCCAGTCCGCAGTGCTCTGGGGTGGGAAATAATAATCCATGGCTAAGGGAGCCTGATGCTTGGCTCCCTGAATAGACTGGTCTGCAGAGTGGTTCAAAGAAAATAAGCTCCCAGTGAAGGGATCCAGACACTTGGAAACCATTCAGCAGGCAGAACTCTTTCTGGAAATGGGAAGGAATGAAGCAGCCAAGACATGGAGGTGCCAAGCTGACTGCTGCAGTGATTTGCAGTGTCTGAGCCTACAGGGCCTGGCATGTGTGGAAATGTAGTGCTGTACCTCAGGTGGGGTGACACAGTGCTCCAGGAAAGGGGAAAAGCCTTACATGGTGCCACAGGCTGTTCCTGCCATCTGCATGACTGGGATGAGGATCACCTGCAGCTGGCATGAGCACCTGAGTGGCTGAACTGGGGACAAAGATGCTCTGGGGCTCAGGGGAAACCAGGGCAGCTATCCCAGCACAGGGGTAGGGTTTTGAGCCAAAAGGAATAAGGAAGTGTGAAAGAAGTAGCTGGAGGCTTCCTAGATCTGGTGAGAGGTGAGCAGTGCATTGTGAATTTGGGGTGACTGCAGGGGGGGTTTCAACATGTGCAGGGCTGGGAGGAAGGAGCTGGGAATGCTCCACACCTCTTTTGCAACAGCTTCCAACTCATTTCTCTTCAGTGGCTGGCTCAGCCGCAGGACAAGGGCAGGTTGCAGTCCTTGTCATCTTGAATTTGGTTTGGGATCCACATGGGCATGGCCGAGGGGCACAGGGGAGTGTGATGTGAAGTAAAAAATAAAACAGATGTGATCCTGATTGCAGCTGCACGCAGAGCTGCTCTCGTCAGAGCGCACAGCCCGGCCTGGTCGGTGTCACCTTCCTGCAGGAAGGACCAGCTGGGGATGCTCCATCAGGAACAACGAGGTGGCTAAGAGAGGAGAAGGACTTGACCTTCCAAGTAGGTTTCTTTCGCAAAACAACCTCAAAGAGCTTGGCTTTGAAGACTAACCTCCTTGCTCCTACCCTTGCCAAAGCTTAAAAAAATCCTTTTATTGTAGCATTCATCATCCACAAAAATGTCTGCCTCTTGCCAAACTCTTGGGTCTGATGAAAGCGTGAAGGGGATGGGTTCCACAGACCAACTCTGCACACCTTGGAAAGGTATTTCCTCTCCTGGTCAGGCTCCCAGCCCCTGCTCAGTGTTCCAGTGTCTCTTCCCATGAGTTCAGCCAGGGCTCACATGGTCCCATGACACAAACTATGCTATTGCAAGGGACAAGAAGTTATTAATTTTCTTCTCAGGGATTTAACTGATGTTTTTTTCACTCTTTGTACAAAGAGCAACCTGGAGGCTACTGGCTGGCCAGGAAGGACATTTCTGACATGTGACCCTCCAGGCTTTCCTCCAGCACTGTCCTCCCTGTTCCTCACCCTCATGATCTCCACAGCTCCCCCTTTCCCAGTGCCTGTGCCAGACCCCAGAGGTGGGCAGGTGACTCATTCCCAGGTCCCTTGGTGTATGGGACTCCAAGCCATGTGTGCTCAAAGTGGCATGTGGGAAAAGGTGAGAGCCAGGTCCTTCCCTGGCATCATCCCAGGGCAAGGGCACAAACTGCAGCAGGGGGAATCCTGAGTAGAAAAGGGCAAAATCCTCATAGCTGAGGGTGAGGAAGCACTGGATGCTCCATCCCTGAACAGTTCTTCTTCCTCAAGGAGCGAGCCCTGAGCAACCTGTCAGCCCAAACTGCACAGAGCTAGCACAGGGACCTTCAGACATCCCTCCCGACCAAAACCAAGCGGTGACACCAACAAGTCCCCATCTTGTCCACAGCTGGAAGTGCAGGGGACGTGGAGCTGGTGGCCATCCAAGAGCAGAGCCAGAGAGGTGGCTGAGCTCGCCAGGCTTCCAGAGGATGAAGAGCTGAAGATAACGTTCTCTAGCTGGGAAGGAAAGGAGAGCCAAGCAGGGCGGGTCTGGCTGCAGCGGCACTGGCACCCGACAGCCGCCGTGGAAAGGAAACACATCGTCTTGTTTTCCAAAACAAGGGTAAAGGCTGGGGCTGGGGAGGTGAGATCCAGCTTGGAAAGTCACAGGGAACTTTCTCTGGCAGCTTCCTGCACATTTCAGAGTGCACTGAACAGCCTTCCGGGGGCATGACACCGTGCTGCTGGTGCCAACGTCCTTCCAGCCAGCGGGACAGACTGACGGCAGCCCAAACACCCGCTCTGAGCCACCCTGTCAGCACTTCTACAATGGCAAGTGCTGCTAGGAACAGCAGGAATAAAACTTTCTCACAAGCCACAGACCATCAGTGATTCTGTCCTCAGTCCTCAAATCAAATCCCACCCCTGTGAGACAAATCTGTGGCGCTGTGGAAAAACAACCAGGTATCGCAGTAATTTTCATGGAAAATCACCTGGAAATATGCCTCAGAGCTGTTCCAGAGGGTTTATAAAACAGCTTAGTTATCAGTCATGGAACAGCCAGCATTGCCCTGCATACAATCCTAGGTATCCATTTGGGATTTGGGAGCTGTGAGATGGACAGGGGCCTCCAATGTTCCTGATGCTTCACCAAGTTGGGGCTGATGACACCAAGCACAGACCAGAGATGGACCCTCAACACGGGGAGGTGTCCACTGCTCTGATCCACTAGCCCTTGGTAAATCCTTTGCTGCTGTTTCCTCCACAAATACCCAGCCTTTCAAACCACTGATGAACCTGAGAACCTTTTCCTTACAGAATCCCAGAATGCTTTGGGCTGGAAGGGACCTTAAAGCTCATCCAGTGACACCCCCTGCCGTGGGCAGGGACACCTTCCACTATCCCAGGTTGCTCCAAACTGGCCTTGGACACTTCCAGGGATGGAGCAGGCAGAGGCTGTGTGGGCAACATGGGATTCCTTGCTGCAGGGGAGTGTGGTGACTTACTGATGAAGTTGGCCTGGCCGGTGAAGATGGTGTACTGGAGCTCGTAGGAGCTGACGCTGAACTCATCCTCTGAGATCCAGTGCACGGTGATGGTGTCGTGGGAGGCTGTGCAGAGCTCCTCACGGACTGACGGTGGGTTCGGGGCTGTGGGATGGCACAGACCACAGACTATGGTCAGTTTGGGCTTTCCCCCTTGAAAACCCAGGGCTTTTCCCCTCATGTTAAGACTGAGATGGGCTTGCAGCAGGCATGGTCTCTCAACACCAAAAACTCTCTCATTTAATCTGTCACTGAACTAAACTTTTTAGTTTAACAAGGCATCCAGAGGTCAGAGCACAGGGTTTTTTCAGTGCTGCTCCATCAAGTCTGACACCCCCACACTGAAACAGGCTGAAACCCACTTCCAAATCCACTTATTTCCCTGCACTGGTTGTGGAGTAAGTATTTTATCCCATAACTGATCTGGACATGCTTGTGCTAATCTTTCACTGAAAGCTGATCTGCTTCATGATGATAAAATCGGATTTGGTGAGTGAGGATGTCCTTGCCTCCCCGGGGCTCTCATCCCTCCAGTGCCCCAGCACAGGCTGATCCAGCAGCTGTTGCTGCTCCCAAATCACCGAGGACAGTGATCAGTCTGTGCTGGGCATCAGGGCAGCACTGAGGGGCCCGCTGAGGTCCTGCCCAGAAGGGTTCATAATTTAGGACCAAGTGACCCAGAAAAAGGGCAGGAAAAGGGAAATGTTGAAGCACAGAGTGCCTTAGAAGTATAATAATTAATTAATTCATCATTCCTCCTCTGTAATCCTGATGGACCCTCATATAATCCTTATTCCTCTTGCATCCTTATGGACATCAGCCTCCCCCACCAGGTCATGGAGACCATAACTTTTAAGCTTTCTGATCTTTTCCATGGGTTCTCCAGGAACAGCAGGGTGAAACAGGAAGAGGGGGACATGTCACTGTCCTGGGGACAGCACAGGCCCTGCTCTGCCACAGATGACCTGGCACTTGTTATTGGTTAAGCCCCTAAATAGGTCTGCCAGCCCTTGGTGGAGCACAGGGCAGGGGATTGAGAGGAAGATACAGAGTGGAGCACACCTGAGCACTCACCTGTTAAATAATCCAGTCCCTCCAGCAGCTTCTTCTCTCTGGAAAAATCTAAAGCAAAGTTTTCAAAGGCATCATTAAAATTGATATCTGGTATCAGGACTTGCGAGGATGCAGTTGCCATGGCGACCCTGGAAGGAAAGAAGGGACCATCAGTATGCAACAGGGCGCACAAGGGAGGCACAGGGATGGGGACAGCCTCACTGTGCCTCACCTGCTGCCAGGAAAACAGCTTGCACCTACAGACCACTGCTCCCATCCAGGAAGGTGGCCTAGCCTGGGCACAGGTTCCCTGGGAGTGGGGGGGTTCCATCCCTGGGGTTTACAGCTTTGACTGGCCCCTGAACTCCCTTTGGACTGGCATTTCCAACACTTTTCTACCCCAAGGAAGGGGGCTTGCTTCCCCAGTATTGTTATGACCTGCCACGCAGCACCTGTCCTGTGAGGGATGGGAACCCAGGATTTATTGGAGGATAACACAGGCTGCAGGGATGGCTGGGGATCTCCAGTGAAGTGACTGGAGGGGACTTGGCTCATCTCTGGGCAGGGACCTACAAGCAGGAGCCAGCTCCAGCAGCAGTGTCCCATATCGCCGGCCAGGGGCTATGTACAAATCACGAATGGGACAGGACTGCTGTGGCATGCAGTCTCATTCCATGGTTATGACAATGGGAAGATGCCAGCAGCTCACATCCAGGCAACAGACCAAGAACTTAATGTTACAACTTAGTTTATAAACTTTTTGACCAGTCACACAAAGCAAAAGCATATTGACAGTAGTTCTATCCAATCACTGTAAGCACACGTACCTTTGGTTAAAACAACGCTGGCTTTTTTTGAATACAATACTTGCTTGTAAGCCTCAAGATACAATGCACAGAGCTCCATTATTAAGCTTAGACCTTCCTAACATCACACCAGATGTACTTTTCTGCAACTTAGGAAGTTATTCTACACAAGCGTTAATACACAGACCATTGTTCTATTTGTCCTTTCTTTCTACTTCTTGTATATTTTTTCTGCTGACAAATCTCATAGCTACTGCTTAGCTCTAATCACCATCCTGCTGTCTCTGAGGCCTGCCTTTTGCAAGGTGCCCAAACCCCTCTGATTTTAGGGAATGCCACATCCCGCGCCCAGCGCACCTCTCGGCCACGTTGCGGGCGGTCTGCAGGAACCGCGCGTGGTCGTTCTCCTTCAGGATGTGCTCGGCCTGGTTGATGAGGACCGTGGAGCGCTCCAGGCACTGCCGGCAGTTGGCAACCTGCTGGGCCAGCTTCCGCAGCTTCATCACCTGCCGGAGGAGCAGAGGGAGCCAGCGGGGCTCCTGAGCTTGACAGGCACAGAGGGAACCCCATCCTGAGCCAGCAGCTGAGCACGGCGAGCAAGGAGCAGTGAAAAGGGCACAGGAATGTCTCAATGGCTCTGGGGAGGGAGCACAGCAAAGCACTTCCCATGTTTAATGTTGCTGGGGGTGGGAAAGTCCCGGGGTGCAGCCTGTGCCTGTTCTGAGGGTCCCATATGTGGTGGACCCTGGAGAGCAAAGCATCCTCTCTCCACTCCTCCCATGCAGAGTGACCTCATGCCAGCCAGAGCAGGCTGCCATGAGACTCCTGACAGTCACTCAGCACAGGGCAAGGGAACCTCAGGAGCAGGAGAAGTGTTTACAGAGCTGATGGAAGGTATCACATTCACAGCTCTGAACTGAACTGACTGCTGGGTGACCAAGGTATGAGGGAATCTGCATGTTCTCCCCCTCCCTTCTCCCAGGCTCCATACATCTGTTGGGCCATTTGTCAGGTAAAGCGGGGCAGAACAAATGGAAAACCAAATGGCAATCCAGCAGGAAAGCAGAATTCCTTGCTCCTCAGCTGGAGCACTTCAAAGCAGCCACAGCCTCTAAAGGTTAATCCTTTCTCCATTGCTTCTGCAGAGGGTCTAAGCACTAATCTGTGCCCTTCACCTCTACCCAGCTGCCAATTGTAGAAAAACAACATCTTGGAGCTTCCAGATCCTTCTAAGCATGGCTGGAACTGGACAGCAGAGCCTGGAAGAGTCAAGGAAGAGGGTGGGAAGAGCAAGCAGACAGACAGATGGACCGGCAGACGGCACCGTTACATAAAATACATTCCCTGGAGTGCTTGGGGTAGGAGCAGGATTTCCAAGTTCCCACTGCTGCCAGGCTGTCCTGGAGCTGTGCCGGTGCCTCTTCTGCCTACACACGCAGTGGAACCTGCTCCCAGACTGCCTGGGCAGCATCTGTATTTGGGGCTTGGTCACAGATACCGTGGTGGGACCCCAGTGCATGGACTGTAGGGGGATCAAGACCACGAACGACCCCTGAAGCCTCTGACTCATTTCCAGAAAATGTCTGGAAGAATGGACTGTGCATGAGAACTGATTTGCAGAGAAAGTGAGAACTCTGCAGGAAAGGCAAAACTTACCTATAAAAAGGTCCTCTCCCAGAAGCACAGGCAGTGCCCCCAGGACCCTGACCCATTTGTCATTCCTTTCAATCATGAGTACCTATGAAATCTTGGGCCCCTTCCCTTTTGGGGTGAGATGCTACACATAGATACCATTGGGAAACACCTGGAGCCACTGGAGGAAAGGTCCAAACACTCCCACAAAGATGAGGGTGAGAAGCAGCTCCTCCTCAGCTGTGCTGCAATGCAGAACATGCAGCCTCTGCTCTCTCTGCAGCACTGGACTATGGCCCTTCAATATTAATTCCACATTATTCTATTAGAACCACAGTGGTGAAGAGCCCTGAGGAAGCTGTCTGGAGTGATCCAAGCCTCTGCACCAACTTGTCACGCTAACCAACACACTGCTCCTCCTCCAGCCAGCACATGCTTTGTCCTTGGCAGAGGAGCCTGGGGCAGCAGCAGTGATGGACACCTGGATATGGGGTGGCATGGAGGGCAGCACCAGGGGACACCTGCAGTTTGGAGATGCACCGGTGTGCTCAAAGCAAACCCTTCATGGCAAGGCAACACACGCTGCTGCAGCCCCTCTGCCCGAGGCCGGCACGTCCCAGCATCACTGGCTGCAGGAGGGCTCCTAGACAGGAGGGGCAGAGCCTGCAGCAGCCACCCCGTGGGCACAGGAGGCCACCTGTGACCAGGGACACAGGAGCTGGGACCCCTCACCTTTGTCTCCTTGATCTTGACAGCGATGACCTGCTTGCGCTGGCGGATGATCTCCATCAGCTCATCACACTCCTCCATCAGCTTGGCCTCGTGCATGGCTGTGTTCACCTGGCCAGAACAGCAGCAAGCAGGGGTTGGGAGGGACACACAGCTCACAGGGGTTGGGAGGGACAGACAGCACACACAGGTGCTGGGAGGGACACACAGCTCACAGGGGTTGGGAGGGACACACAACACACTCTCATGGCTGTGCTCACAGTGGTGCATACACAGAGTGCAGTGGGGGCACAAGCAGAGGTTCCAGTCCTCTGCCTCCAGGGAAGACCAGTACCCATGGGAGGATGGACAGGACAGGACAAGGGGAAATGCACTTCATGGAAGAGGAATCTAGCCCTAGCACCTCATTAAACCACACTACAGGACAGAAATCAGTTTTCCTCATTTTGTACTCCCAAATCCCTCTGAAACAAGGCAGCCTTGAGTGAACCACATTTTTGCTACAGGATCTTTTTTTAAACCTGGCCAGCAGATTATGCAACACTGGAGTGGGAGACAGCTGATGGTCTGCAAAGAGAGCTCCACTGAGGAAAAACAGTGGAAAATCTTCCCAATCTGCTGCATGTGGCAGGGGGTGGGGAACAGCCCCAGGATTTGGAGCCTGCAGCAAGCTGCTGTGGCATTGCTGCTGTGGCAGAGCTGCTGTGGCAGAGCTGCTGTGACACTGCTGCTGTGGCAGAGATGGCAGCATCCTGGTCCCTCAAAGCTGTGCCCACAGGGACGGCTGCTACCCCAACTTCCCAGGAGCACACACCTGGACTCCCCCTCTCATTCAGCTTCTGGGACACATGAGGGTGAGGGAATGTGGGGGTGAAGGCTGTGCACAGCAAGGGGCAAGAAAGAAATGTTGGGCCAAGGGACAGGAGGGGAGGTTGGGGCACCTCAGCTTGGCCCTGGGTCCACCCCTCCAACCAGCTGCTGCCCAATGGTCCAGCTCAGGCCTGGAGTGTTCCCCTCCAGGATGGCTACAGGACAAGGTAAATCTATAGCCATCCACAGCCTAAATCTGAAAACCTGCCCAGGGCAAGAAATCTCCCCTCAACCATGTTGATGTTCTGGGGGGCTGAAGGCAGGTAAAGTTGTAGAAGGCACCACAGTCCCTTTCCCAGTTGCCTTCTGCCAAAACAGGAGCATTTTTTAGGCTGGGGTTCCCCCAAAGAACCAGCAGAGCATGGAGGGGGTCCTGCAGACCAGGACTGCTCCACTGGCAAAGCCCTGGCTCAAGAACACCTGGACCACTCTGTATGGATGAAGCAGCTCCCAGGTAAATGCTGGGTTTGGGGTGAACACTCAGCAGGTGCTACGGCTGCAGGAAAGCTGGGCAGCTTTTAGTTGTAACAAGGGAGAGAAAAAATACTTCACCCACCTCAGTGCTGGGGGGGAATGTGCTAGGAACAACAGTCCTGGAATAAACCCAGCTCTGGGAAAAGCCTGTCCTGCACCTCGTGGGGATGAGAAGCAGCGTCTCAGCATCTCAGCCCACAGCCTGACTCACACACAGGCAAGCCTCCTCCTACGTGCCCTGGCAGCTCAGGGATGGAGCAGAGGACCCCATCCCACCTCCACAGTCCTCAACAGGTTTTTGGCTGTGTAGCAGCTGTGCCCTGGGGACACCAGGAGCTCACACTGAGGCTGCTGTGACACAGAGGTGTCCCATGGCATACCTGCAGCTTCTGCTCTTCCCCACAATGTGACACTGGGCTGGTACCATCCCTATTTTACAAACTCAGCTTTTCTCTGCAGGGTTGTTGTCTGCCCTCCTTGGTGCACATTTCCATCACTGCCACAAGATTTGCCCATTTTGACCTCTCTCAGTACAGCCCCCCATGCTCCAGAGTCACTCTGAGGGGCAGCCCAGGCTCAGGGCCTTGAGGACACTTGCAGTGCCCTTCTCTGGGGTGAACCCCTGTCCCTCAAGGTGGTGGTGGCCCCATTCTCTGGACATGCCATGAGATTTACACTGAATGTTTCTGAGGGGCAGAGTACATGGGGATTATATGTGCTTGCCTGTGTGCCATTTCTGCAAATATCCCAGAAGCAAAATTCCCTGGAATCAGATTGATGGAGAGCACAGATATTTTCTGCTTCACAGTTTACTGCGCTCTCTGCAAAGGGGCCTCCGAGGGCCTGGCTGTGCATTCAGCATAGCTGAGAAATGTTACTTGAACTGTTATTTTAAGCAGAGCGTCTGACAAAGCTGAAAACTCACAAACTCTGTCAAAAATGACAGCTTAGAGGTCTCAGACTCTGAGGATCAGACAGAAATACCAAATATCCTTCAATTTATCCTATGTCAGGTCGTTCAGACATTGGAGCTGGATTCAAAGGAATGGGTTTGGAAGGACATGCAGCCACATCCCTGGTGGGTTCTCAGAGCCAAAGCATGGCCCATCAGAGCAGCAAGGGCTGGTGACTGTCACCAGAGCTCTGCAAGGGCATCCTGGCTCCTTCCCTCTCTGCCAACATCCATGCTATCTGTAATCCCAGACTCAGGCCAAGCCCACTGAAACCCTGGGGAAGATGAAGCCCAGGAGGGACATTCCCAACAAAGCCATTCCCACTGCAGAGTGATGCACAGGCAGAGAGAAGCAGGACAACACCAGTGACACAGAAGGCCAGCAGTGCTGCAGAGCCAAGTGGGATTTTTCTGCTCCTTATTTTGGCTGGAAGTTCAGAGCATCTCAACCCCCTCCTCCTTCTCTGCACGTTGTGGCACTGGCTGCCAGCTGCTGGTGGCACATTCAGCCCTGCTGGCACTCACAAAAAGGGATTCTGCACTCACTTCCTCTTGCCAGAGCATCAGGACATTATTGAGGGAGTGAAGAACAAAGTGCTGATGCTGTCTGCAGAAACCACAGGGCTTGAAGCACCTTCACAGCCCCAAAGCCCGGCTGCTCTGAGATTCAGGTGGTGAAGGACAAGCTGCAGCTCCCTGGGCAAATTCATCATAAAAGCTTTGCTGTGGGCAAACGGCTCCACCCTGCACAAGAGGACCCCTTGTCCTGCTGCAGCATCCCTGCATCCTGCTGCAGATCCCTGCATCCTGCTGCAGCATTCCACCACAGCATCCCTCCATCTTAACTTGCAGCATCCTGAGGCAACATCCCCACATCCCACCACAGCATTCCAGCATCCTGCTGGCTGCTGGGCCCATGGGATGGCTTGGGGGAGTGCAGGGGAGGCACAGGACTTGCATGCCCTGCAAGGCCTGGGGTGTGAGGCTGAAGTAAACAACTGCTGTGTTCTCTCAGGCACTGGCAAACTCCCCCTGAATCCACGGCAGCAGCCTGGGCTTTAGTTCTACGGGAAGCTGGTGGTTCAAGGAATTGCTGCAGGCTCGGTGTCACCCAGCTGAGGCCTCTTTGCAGGCTCAGTGTCACCCAGTTGATGAGCCTTGTTACAGGCTCAGTGTCACCTGGCTGAGCCCCGTTTTCACGCTCGGTTTCACTCAATCTTCCACCAAAAGCAGCTGCTGCCCCCAGCACAGAGCAGCGGGCAGGTCCTCCTGCCTGGAGCCAGCTCAGCAGCCCATGTCTCTTCTCGGTGCCTCCCAATCATGACAACTCCTTCAGACCCCTGGGAACCATCCCTGTGTCCTCCACTGCTTGGGAGTACCCCCACAGTCATCTCTGCTCCTGGGGAGCCCCAGGAAAGGAGTCTGGGGTGATCCATGCATTGACTCCATTGAGCTGGAAGCTGCCCCAGGCACCTCCCCCAGCCCCTGGCCCTCACCCACCTCCACTTGCTGGCAGATCTGTATCAGCTTGGCCATCTGGTTCTCCAGTTCGCTGTTGCGTTTAACCAGGTTGGTGAGATTTGTCTCCAGGGTTTGCTGCAGGTCCAGAAATGGGAGAAAGAGGAAAAATACAGAGATCAGCAAAGCTGGAGTGTCCCCAGTCCCCTGCCAGCAGCTGAGACCCTCTGCCATCAAGCACACTGCCTGAGGGAGGGACACTGGGATAACTTTGGGAAAAGGCTCTGGGGCCTTGGCAGCTCCTGCCCATGCCAGAGGGCTGTGCCATGGGGAGACTGAGCCCAGCACTGCAGTGACCCTGGGGTGTCACTACCTGGAGAGGACAGCGTGGGTGTCTGCCCTTTGCCACTCCTTTGGAGAGCAGATTTTGACTATTTTCATCCTCAATTTTGCTCTGCACAGGGTGAGGGAGATGAACAAGAGCCTGGTGAGCCATGGGAGAGGGATGTTATCTCTGCCAACCACTTCAGCTGGAGCTACCATGGCACAGGCAGGGAGAGCTCAGCTGCACTGTGCTGGCTTTCACTCCCCAGCCACGCTGCCCTTTGCTCACCAGAGCAGATCTCAGCTGGCAGACCATGGCTACTGGATTGCAGCCAGCAGATCACAGCCAGTGGATCTGGGCCAGAAGATCCCATGGCCAGTGGATCCCAGGCAGCAGCTCTTGAGCAGGAAGTCATGACCAGTGGATCATGGCCAGCAGATCTCTGCCAGCAGATCACGGCCTGAGAGGACAAAGATTCCCAAGCCTGCTCTGGTGCCCACAGGCTGCACTGCTCTGGGAGAAGGAGGGGATCCAGTGGAGCACCAATGCAGACCCCACTTGAGGGGATATGGATATCCATGGCCATGGGGGGAGCACAGTTTCTGGGTGCTTTCAGAGACACAGCATTGCCAGCTCCACGTGCTCTGCTAACGGGAATGCTTTATAACAAAGCACTTGCTACCTGTTGCAGCGCTTGTCAGGAAATGATATCCTATTAATATTTTAAGCTCCAGGGCTGGAAGAAGGTCCCTGAGGTGGTTCATTCATCTGCAGGTAGGAACTGCAGTCTGAGGCCTTCGTCTGACTCCAGCAGGCCCATAAACACAGCCCCTCTCCATACACATGGGTAATTGGGGGCTACTGAGCCAGGAGAACTTGAATTACAGGCATGGAGCACAGGCAGAGCACTCATTCCTGAAAAACCACTGGCTCCTAAAATATCCCGAGCTTGTTTGCAGCCCCGAAAATTGCTGGCCAAGGGCAAGTAAGGCAGAATGCAGGAACAGGCTGGAGAAATGGAATAAAACCCAGAGAGCCTTGGTTATGCCAGAAGGGTTTGCAGAGTGGGGCTGCATGGAAAATGGAAAAGCCAGCTGCTCCCACCCCCCTCTCCTCATAGCCCAATATTATAAACATCATTTCACTACAGCAACGAACATTTCACTTGCTAATTACCTCCCTCATCACCAGCGTGGCTGCACTGAGGTTGCAGCTTTGAACTCGCACCAATCTGCTTTAATCTTCCAGGCTGTGATGGAGGGCAGGGCGGGGGGGCTGAGGTACAGCTTTGAAGCACACGTGCCCACACCCCATTTGCAGCATCCCAAGTTTTCTAGGGGATGGCATCACTCCTCCCATCCACAAACACATGCAAACCCTGTCCCCGAGCACCAATCCCTTCATCACACATCCTCTGTGGCAATGCTGAGGCAATTGGAGGTGCTATACTGATGTCAGCCATGGTTCCACAGCCCTTTGCTGCTCCCCTGCCCTCGGTGCACCCACAGACCCTCACTGCCAACCCCTCTGCATCCCAGGAAAACACAGATGGAATGCTTCCATCTGTTTGATGTGCTGAAACGAATAAAATGGGCTTGAAGCCTGGATCACACCAGCTGGTTATTTTGTAGGTGTATATAAATTACAGCAATTACAGGGGTTGGGTTTTAATTGCTTTATTAAATGCCCGTCATTTCCCTAAACCTCCACCTTCTGTCCTCAAATAGAAATAGGTGATTTTTCTACAACTGGAGAGACAATTGAGAAAAAGTGACAAAAAGGCCTTGAGCAGGAGTCACTGTGTGGGGAGAAGGGGCAGGGTCACAGCAGGACCAGAGAGGGAAGTGCCAAGGCACCCTGGGACAGGGGCTGAACCTCCCCATGCCGAGTGTCAAGGACCCACAGGGTCAAACCTTCCCACGACTCCAACAGAGCAGCTGAGCACCTTCACCCCTGTACCTGCCACTCACCAGATACACCATAAATCCATTCCCACCCAGCCAGAGGAGAGCAAGCACTGACCTGCAAGTACCAATACTTGTTTGTTCAGTTACGGGCATAATGGGCAACAACCTGATTTTCTTTTTCCTCCAAATACCAAACAAGTAGTTCAACTAAACATGGATTTATTTCTCTGTTTGAAGAAGGCATCAAGGTTACAGGCTCAAGACAACTTCAGGAGCTATAAATACATGGTGTCCTCCTGGTCCCTGTGCTTCTTCAAACACGACCTTGCCTGTGCCTGGCCACAGCTGCCCTCCACAGCCAGTCCCCAGCCCATCCACCATTCTGGCAGCTGGTTCACTCTGAGAAATGCTGCCAGCCTTGTGGCTTTAACCAGCTGAGAGCTGGAACAGAGCAGGCTCTGAGCCCCAAGCACGTGGCCAAAGAACAGGCTCCCCACACCTGAGGGGTGACAAGTCCCCAGGGCTTTGGGCCATGCAAGCCTCAGATCTCCTCCTGTGGGTGTGGGCTGGGAGGACCTGGAGAACCCCAGAGCTGGGGAAAGCCTAGGGACAGGCATGCAGGGGTGGTGGGTGGCTGCTGCATCCCTCAGCACTGCTCTGAGGGGCAAGAGACTCAGCCTGGCACAATGGCACAGAGGGTGTCCTTTGGCTCTGCCTTAGCCAGGTTTCTGCATTTATCTTCACGGGAAGGCAGCCAAAACTGGAGTGATACTTCCAATGATTTACTCAGGGCTTTTCTCGTTGCCCCTGTTCATCCACAATCACTTCCAATAACGGAGGTGAATCCCTGCCCTGATCCTCCTGTGCACCACAAACACACATCATGCGTGCATCCACAAACCCACGTGCAGGCACACAGGCACCAAGTCAAACCCACTCCAAAATGCTCCCTGCATGCCACAGTGTCAGGAAAACCAGTTCCTGGAAGCCACCAGCATTCACCAGCCTCACCTGGACAGGGCAGGGGATGAGCCCCTGCAGCAGCCATCTGGGACTGCTGCCACGCTGAGGATGCACAGCGAAGCCCTCGGGGCTGAGGATGTGCTGCCAGGTCCCAGCACGGGCAGGATTCCTGCTGGGTCTGACTTGTTCCTCTGACTTGTTTTGGAGCAGCCCAGGTAAGCCAGATGTCACCAGGACATCGCCCAGGGCATCAGAGTCTGCCACGGAGCTCCTAAGGGAGCTGCTCATTTTTTACGTGTTGATAGCATCAGGCAGAATCGCACTGGAGCTGTGGGAACCTCCACCCATGGCCCTGTTCCTGGCCAAAACACTGCTCTGCACTGAGCTCCTGCCCCAGGAGCCCACTGTGGGGATGATGGAATGATGGAATTGATGTGCTTTGTCTCAGGAACGCTGGGGCAGCTTTCTGGGGAAGCAGCAGCTGGACAGGGTAACCTGCAGGCAGCTCCCACCAGGGTCATTCCAGCCCCTTCTGCTCTGGAGGGATATTGGAGCAGGACAGTGACAGTGGGGTTGGTGCAGCATGCTCCCACTCCCCTGGCACCGGCCTCTGCACTGCCAAACTAAAATCACAGAGGTTTGGAAGGGACCATAAAGCTCATCTCATACAACCCTGTCATGGGCATGGACACCTTCCACTATCCCAGGGTGCTCCAGGCCCTGCCCAACCTGGCCTTGGACACTTCCAAGGCATTGGCAGCACTGCTCAGATCAGGCTCCTCTCAGTGGCCACAGCAGGTCCAGAGCCTGGCATTGCTCCCATGCCAGTGGATGTTCCCACTCCCACCTCCCATGGCTGCACAGAACGTGGCACTGCTCACTGCCAGCCCTGGCAGCAGCACATCCAGGCGATTCAAACTGGAAAAGGGGACATTTAGGTTAGATATATCAAAGACATTTTTCCTTGTGAGGGTGGGCAGGCCCTGGCACAGGGTGCCCAGAGCAGCTGTGGCTGCCCCTGGATCCCTGGCACTGCCCAAGGCCAGGCTGGACATGGGGCTGGAGCAGCCTGGGACAGTGGAAGGTGTCCCTGCTCAGGAAAAGGGGTATAATGAGATGAGCTTAAGGTCTCCTTTAAGCCAAACCATTCTGTGATTCCACAATTCTGTGTTTAGAATAAATTCCCACCACCAAGGGAAAAAAAAAGCACAAAACTCTGGGTAAAAATATGCAAAGCCAGTCAAGCTACTGGGCTTTGCTCAGAGAATGTCCCTAGACAACAGGACAAGTGACAAAGGGACACGACTGAGCTGCCATGTGTGACATTAATGCATTTTAAGTCACTTTGGAGTCAAAGAGACTGAGTAAGAGCTGAAACCTCTGCCAGCATTCGGGGCTGCTGTTGCCCCACTGGCTGAGCTGACCTAGAAACCAAGTGGCTCTGCACAGCATGGGGGTGGGGGGCTCTGATGGTGCTGAAGAGTCAAGAGCCAGAGCCTGAGCCAGGCAAAGAGGCTCTGATAGTGACCCCCAGCATGGAGGGGATGGGGTCCAGGGGGATGCACTCGACCAACAGACACCTGAGGGCGCAGCGACATGCCCCACGTCCCCTGATCAGTGTGATCAATAAAAGAGCAGCTCCAAATCCATTAATTACACTTAATCCCTGATGATCTGTTAGGCTTCAACCCTGACTTGCTCTTTCCATGCTCACCTTCAGTTGGGAAGCAGCTCTGGAGGGAAGCCCCAGTAGAGAGCAGGGCTGGGGATGCAGGTGGCACAGGGGTAGGTTTGTCACTGCCAGGGCTCCCAGCCATCATAAGCCCCGTGGTGGGAGTCACCCACGCTACCTGGGCACACAGTGCTCCAGCCTTGTCCCCAGTGCCCAGCCTGGGGGTGTCCCTAGCCCCTCCCCTTCACCTCACAGAAAGCACAGGGTAATC